TTTTTTAGCACCAACTGATAACTTCTAAATTCATTTATTTATGTGACCTCAAAGTGTACCAAGTTTTATTAAAATCAGAATTTAACATTTCGCGAGGTTCCCTTAGTCGTATTCTGCCAACTTCCGGCTTCATCCCCTCCACAGCAAAAGCATAAGAATGCTCCACAGTATAACCAGTAGGTCCACTTCGTGTCGGCGCCTTTGATCTCCTTTTCCAGATTACGTGAGCATCCATGTTAAATCCAGGATCGAATTGAGAAAAGTGCCTCACAAGTAATAAAACAGACAAGTAATAATATGGATTTGATACAGTAAATCAATAAATTCAATGTGTGAATCAAATAAAACGTTTTCATTAGTAACAATTATTCGTAGGAGTGATCACTAAAGAAAATTTCTGTATTTGCTTATAAATTGTCTGCACATATGTACGTTCCTATCGTCTTACATTTCATTGGATTCAACCCAAAACAAAAGTTGCGCGGCGATACCTGCGCGAAGACTCAGTTTTTCGCTGAGTGGAGCTACTGGTTATACTGTGAATGCTCGGTCTATTATATATGTCGTTGGGTCTATTATATATATCGTTGGATAAATCTATCTTATGATTAGCCATTTGCGAGTCCAATCAGGACTCGTAACACCAGTCACGCTTCTCTGATAATCTAGAACTCTAAACTAAAGATAGTACATCGTGGCTCGCATTTGAAAAATATTAGATACCTATAAAATATATGTTATATATATTAAATATATATTAAAAACCTATAAAAAAAGTGTCGCAACCGATCTGTTCACGACTGTATGTAACCTACTGATTATACTATGCTAGTACCCTCAAGTGACCCTCGTGAAGTTAGCCCGCAAGATGAAAATTTCTGAACGATCAATAGCTCAAAATAATGCTCCCGATTTGCTCCGTCCATATTGATAAATATAAAAAATTGCTCCCTTTTAGTTTTTTAAAAAAATCCAAAAAACGATTTTTTACGAAAAACGTCCATAACTTTTGATCTAATTGATATTTTTGAACAAATGAGGTCTCAAAATTTTGCTCCAAATTTGCTCCGTTCGGAGCAATAAATGTTATCAATTGGTTTTTAATAGTTTCTTTTGTAAATTAAAAGAAACGTTCTTGTGATAAATCTAGGGACTTTTTGTCGAAAAACGTCATAACTTTTGTCAAAGTGGTATTTTGCAATAAATAAGGTCTCAAAATAATGCTCCCGGTTTGCTCTATTCAAATAAATCTATTTCATAAAATGCACCTTTGCATTTTTGTTTAAATAGAAAAAACAATGTTTTTGTCCAAAATCTAAGGGTTTTTATTAAGCGCGCGTGCGCATCGGAATGGAGTGTATAATCAAGATATCAAAACAGTGAAGAAGTGTCAGTGTTTATTTATAAATAAATAGAAAAATAAATTAAAAACGGTGCGGAATAATAAATATAAGTATAATAAATAATACTATTATAAGTGAATAAATTACAATAAAATATTATTAGTAATAATATTTTAT